CAGGGGAAAACCGGGAAAATCCCAGGGGAAACCGGGAACACTGACCGAAGCCTTCCAGAGAAACCGGGAAAAGCCCAGGGAAACCGGGAAAAACCGGGAGAATCCCAGGGGAAAACCGGGAACACTGACCGAAGCCTTCCAGAGAAACCGGGAAAAGCCCAGGGAAAACCGGGAAAAACCGGGAGAATCCCAGGGGAAAACCAGGAAAAACCGGGAAAAGCCCAGGGAAACCGGGAACACTGACCGAAGCCTTCCAGAGAAACCGGGAAAATCCCAGGGGAAAACCGGGAACACTGACCGAAGCCTTCCAGAGAAACCGGGAAAAGCCCAGGGAAAACCGGGAAAAACCGGGAGAATCCCAGGGAAAACCGGGAACACTGACCGAAGCCTTCCAGAGAAACCGGGAAAAGCCCAGGGAAACCGGGAAAAGCCCAGGGAAACCGGGAACACTGACCGAAGCCTTCCAGAGAAACCGGGAAAAGCCCGGGAAAAACCGGGAGAATCCCAGGGGAAACCCGGGAAAAACCGGGAGAATCCCAGGGGAAAACCGGGAAAATCCCAGGGAAAAATCCCAGGGGAAAATCCCAGGGAAAAATCCCAGGGGAAAACCAGGAAAATCCCAGGCAAAAATGGGGAAAATTCCAGGGAAAAACCGGGGAAAACTGCCAGAAGCGTTCCAGAGAAATGGGGAAAAGTCCCAGGGAAAAAGTCCAGGGAAAAACCAGGAAAATCCCAGGCAAAAATCCCAGGGTAAAACCGGGAAAATCCCAGGCAAAAATGGGGAAAATTCCAGGGAAAAACGGGGAAAACTGCAGGGAAGCGTTCCAGAGAAACAGGGAAAAGTCCCAGGGAAAAAGTCCAGGGAAAAACCAGGAAAATCCCAGGCAAAAATGGGGAAAATTCCAGGGAAAAACCAGGAAAAACTGCCAGAAGCGTTCCAGAGAAATGGGGAAAAGTCCCAGGGAAAAAGTCCAGGGAAATGTTCCGGGAAAACCAGGAAATGTTCTGGGGAGAAACAGGGAAACATCCCAGGGAAACATTCCAGGGGAAAAATTCCAGGGGAAACCGGGAATATGGGGCCACGTCCCAGGGAAAAACCGGGAAACATTCCAGGGAAAAATTCCAGGGAAAAACCAGGAAACATCCCAGGGAAAAACTGGAAAACGTTCCAGGGAAAAACCAGGAAACATCCCAGGGAAAAATCGGGAAAATCCCAGGGAAAAATTCCAGGGAAAAACCGGGAAAATTCCAAGGAAATATCCCAGGAAAAAACTTGGAAACATCCCAGGGAAAAACCAGGAAACATCCCAGGGAAAAATCGGGAAAATCCCACGGAAAAATTCCAGAGAAAAACTGGGAGAATTCCAAGGAAAAATTCCAGGGTAAAACCGGGAAAATCCCAGGGAAAAATTCCAGGGAAAATCCCAGGGAAAAACCCAGGGAAAAACGGGGAAAATCCCAGGGAAAACTGGGAAACATTCCAGGGAAAAACCAGGAAACATCCCAGGGAAAAACTGGGAAATGTTCCAGGGAAAAACCGGGAAAATCCCAGGGAAAAACGGGGGAAAATCCCAGGGTAAAACTGGAATAATCCCAGCGAAAA